TATAGCATTTTTCAAAATTAATGTCAGTTTTCATAATCAAAAGCACTTTTAAAATAATTCCTCAAATCGTGTTTCTTTAATTCTGCTATTCCTTCCTCAATAACTTTTCTTAATTCTTCCTCGGTTCGCGGTCGATGCTTTCTATAAAAGCTTTTTATAACACTATTACAGTTTTCAGTAGGATTTAGTTCGGGGGTATAAGGAGGTAAGTAAATAAGAACAATGTTCTTTTGCTCTGCTAATTCTTTAATACTTGGTAAACCTAAATCTTTCAATGCCTTTACGGCATGGTGGATCCGAACATTGTCTAATAAAATATGACGCTTTTCATTAGCAGAAGTTTTCATATTTTTTAGGTAGTCATAAAAGTTTCAGGCTTTGGCTCCTCCTTTAATTAGTTCGTAGATTATTTCTCCTTTTTCCAGGTTTTGAATGGAAAGAATAACAGTGTAATTAGAACCCTTGTTACCTGGCCTTTTAACTACTGCTCTTTTACTTTTATGAGCCCGAGCATAACGAGGAACCGCACCTAAATTAAAACTACACTCATCCAAAGAATAAAGGGAGGATAAAGATAGTAATTGGCAATTATCATTAACAAATTGCTTAATCTTTTCTTTTTTTTGCTCCGAGAACTGTTTATCAGCTTTTTTCAAGGAAATCCTTTTTCTTTTCAGAACCCGAAAAATAGTTGGAACACTAAACCTTTGACCTGCTTTTTGGAACAAGTAATCTGACAACTCTTTCAAGGTTTTGGTATTATTATCTTCCTTCTCTACATAAGAACACAAAAGTTCTGAAACATCTTCCTCAATTTTTCGTGGTCTTCCTCTTTTTTGTTTTTCTTGGTTGTTAGTTGATTTAATTCTGCGATAGATAGTTCGTTCGTTTCGGTGGTAAAAGTCTCCAATTTCCTTTCTACTATACCCTTTTTGCTCTAACATGCTTACCTGTTGCTGAAAAAGTTCATTTGGAACGCTGGAAAGATTGTAATCCAGTTTTCTAATACCTTGCTTAACTTGTCCCTCAATTGGAGTTAGCAATTGGTTCCTTTTTATTTTTCTATCTAAATCAATAATTCTTTTTCCGAGGTTATATTCGCCATTAGGACTTTTTTCAATATTTACCTTACAGCGGGCATCAAGAAAGTTAACCAAGGAACGATTATTATAGAAAATTACTTTTTCCTTATTATCAGTAAATAAAGTATACTTGAAAGATTTAAGGTTAAAGTCTAATTCTCCGCTGATTATTTTTCCGTAGTGTTCCATTATTCGTTTTCTTTTTCTTTCTCGCTTTTTCCTCAGAAGTAAGCAATTAACCCTATTACCAAAACTAAAATTATTCCTCCTCCAATTAGCCAAGGGGTTCAGTTAGTTTTTTTAGGATTTTGTTCTTGCTTTTCTTTTTCTAGCTCTGATAGCTTCTTTTTCTTGTCTTGTAATTCCTGTTCCTGTTGAAGAGTGCGGTTAATAATTGCTTCTAATTTGGCAATCTTTCTCCGTAGTTTCTCAATTTTCTTGTCTCTCTCTCTCTCTCTCTCTGCTTATCATCATTGTCTTTACCAGTTTTTTTATTTAGTTCACTTTCTAACTCCTCAACAAACTTCTTGCCTTCTTTATATTTAGCACTATTTTTATCCTCAACTTGGCTTACTTTTTGCCGAAATTTGCTAATGAAATGCTCTCATTGTCCCTGTTCCTCTCGCATTAGATTAGTTTGATTTTTTAATTGTTTTATTTTTTCAGAGTAAGAATTATCCTTGATGGTGATGTTGGTTTTATGGAAAAAAATTCTTTTTCGCTTGTCCTTATCTAGCACATTCTTATTATCCTCTTTTTTTAATAAACTTTCATCATCCGAAAAAGATATTTCATAAGAGTAATTTTCATTTTCGACTGGATTGTTGTCTCCGCTTCAAAAACTAATTCTATTTTCCTCTAATTCTTTTATTTTGGGATGGTCGGAAATAACCAGTATTTCCATGTCTGCCTTTTGGGAAACAAACTTCCAAAAAGTAAAGCCAGCAATGGCTCATTGTTCGAAATGGTGGCTGTCCTCTAATTTAGTTAAGATTTTGATTTCTGCCATATTTATAATTTTATTTTTTTCTATTGATTGTCTCGTATAAACAATTTTTCAAGAGCAAATAGATAACAATTATACTCCTAAGGATAAAACTAATATTAAACATCTGTTTTAAACTCTATTTAAATATTAGTTTCAATTTTTATTAAAATGGGTATCAATAAAGTTGGCTAACACTCCATAAATACCGAGCATCAGCAACCTAAAATATAGTATATAATCATTATGACTAAAAACATAATAGATAAAGAAACAAATAATAAAAAGGAGTATGTGGAAAAAATAGCAAACTGTCCTTTTTGCCGTCGGTTTTACGAAAAAAATCCTTTTAAAGAAGAATGAGAAAAAGAATGAAAAGAATTCGGTTCGAGAATAACGAAAATAAGAGAGATTTGAAAGAGTTCTAAGGATCCTTATGAAAAGAAAATTGCTTTGTTCGAATTAGTAGTAAACATTGAGTTAGAGGACATTGAACCACAAGAAAGTGAAAGGGTTAATTACTTGCTTCGAAGTCGACTTTATAATGAATTAGCCAAGGATAATTATGATAAATATCAGAAGGCTACCGTGGATGAGTTTACTAAGAAGGAAAAAGACAAAAATGAATAATTAATCAAAACTGACATTAATTTTGAAAAATGCTATAAAT